GAATCAAGCTCTATTTATCCCCATTCTTCAAGATCTTTATATAATCTTCATAATATATCCAAAAAATACCATCTTCCAGCGGTATTTAGATTTTTTCTACAACATTCATTACTATATTAAGAGTATTCGATGCAAGGGTAATGGAATCCCAACATTTCCATCCAATGTCTTTTGCACAATTTTTCTAGAAATACTATACGTTCAACATTTTTCTTTATGAGTTACCCATTCCAAATTAACAGCTTGATTATCATACCTGATACCGTTGAAATACTCGGGATCAAAGTTATTAGATCATCACGTCCAGCCGGGTAACTACCAAATGAAAGTTATGAAAGTTACAAATTTGGAAAACAGCTGAAATTTAATTTGTTCTTGGCGTTAAAGAATTACAGGTTGTAACACTTGTTAGAACAACAAACGTTTGTATCTTTTTAGTGGTTGGTGATCATTAAATAATTTTGTAAACTCTATTTGTAACAGTTGTGACCTAGCGGTAAGAATAGTGTTGGCGAATTCTTCGAACGCTTAAATGTTAATACAATTAAATATTACCATTTAAAACAATACATGCATTTTATGTTCACAACTCCTGCATTTTCAGCCCTGATCACAACATACTGCTGAGTTTTAAAAAAAGACTATAAGTGTGATAGGTTCAGTATACACTCTTAAAATCAGCACAGATGAAAGAGTTTAAGTAGATCTTTATTGGGAGAAAAAAAATTATAAAAAGCCGCCCTTTTTTATCTATAAACATTCAATTGATTTAAAAAAAATTACAGAAAATCTTTATCGATCCACTTATTATAACTTTTTTTTAACATGATTAAAAGATCTATCACCCTCTTATCGATCACGAAATACTTATATTTACTTTGCATCATTGGCTTCGTTACTTCTCAAGATACAGAAGTTGATTGTTCTGGGGTTATTAACTCAAACTTACCATACCTACCAGACCCAAATGATTGTTCAAAATTCTATCACTGTAGTAATGATGGAACTGCGTACTTAATTGATTGCCCAATTGGTTTACAATTTAATCCAATCAGTAGTCGTTGTGATTGGCCACATAATTTGCCAGAAAGTGCAGAATGTCTGACTTCGCCACAAGAATAATCTTTCCTATTTAATTCGACTAATTAGAGTATAATACAAATCAGTTTATTATATTTTACTATTTTACTATTCTAAGTTAAGATAGAAATTGATTATACTTTATCATCTGATGATCCTGCAAGGTTAAAGGTGTTGGGATTTTTAAACTTTGGTGTATGAAAAACTAATCTTGTAGTGCTTATATGAGAAAGTTAATAAAAGTGACATTCTTCTTATTAATAAAGTGCTGAGATTTTGATTATTTAATAAAATTGCATAGTAGCTGTGCATTTATCGGTTTTTATGTAAAGATATACAGATATTAATTATATATTAGCGAGAAATAAAACATGACAAAGTTTTATAGAACAAATTCATACTATTCATATATTTATATGTCTAATAATGTGCTGAGAAAATATGTCTTCAAAATTTATGGTCTATGTATCAAATGTCGATGTTGGTATAACCGTTCAGTTATTACACATTTAAAACATCAACAAAATTGTTTTTTTAGAAAGCCCTCATATATCAAAAAACAAGCAGTATTAATTATTCAGTGAGCATTTCGTTTATGGTATCAAAAACGAATAAAAAAAAATCCAACTTGTACTTCAATGGCTATATCGAACTGGTGGTAAAGATCGATATTTATCGGAATGCAAATATCATTAGTTCTGAGTCTTTCGATTCTGAACCGGAGCCAACTCATGGTTCCGAGACAATAGGGTATCTCGCATTTATAAATCACGATCTAGATAATCTAAGAATTCTCTACCTTTGACGTTTGACGTCGCACAGTTGACCTAGCAATAGTAAATCTATCGCTATATTAGGATCGCCAATAATTTATTATCTTGATTTAGTGGAACGAGTTTTGATGTATAAAAACAGGACGAAAAATTATGTTCTATATATAGTTATTTAATCTCGATTTG